TTGTCTGGTTCTAGGCTGTCATTGATAAAGTGACTTAAGGATTTTAGGGTGCTTTTATTTTGCTTTACTTTTCAACTTTTAACAACATTGCAAAATTATTTACATAGAATAAAGTAAATATTTTAAGTGTACAGCTCTATGATCTCCCCTGTCCTATTTGATTATGATGATCCTCTCCCCTCATTAAATTCTGATTTACAATATACTCAGCACCCCCAAAAGGCTACTTTGTGACACCTTCCAGGATGAAAATTTATCAATTTATATTTTCTAATCTTTGCAACATGTTTAGAAGACTTAGAGTCTTTTAATTCACAGACATTGCCGTGAAAAATGTACTACACTAGTTTTATTTTAAGAAGAAAACCTAAGCACTACAAAACTTGTTTGGGTAAAATTTTAGGTGTGAAGTACTAATTCTAAGAAAACTATGACTGTGCTCTACAGGTATCTGTTTTGGAGGGTCAGTGCAAGACGTAGTAGAATTCCAGCAGTCTTTCAGGATCACACTCATCCTCAGTGGCCATAGTTGTAGCTTCCTGCGTAATGAGGTGATTTATCATGGTATGTCAACCATAGAGAGTTCAGTATAAATGAATTTGGTTTCTTAAAAAAGGTACTTATATCTAAACACTTTTACAGGAATCTGACATTGCCCTTTAAAGGTAAGCACATATTATGTGATTTGCATATGAAGAACCCATGCATTACTCTTACTTGACTGACTGTCAGGTTCGGCAGTTGCACCTGGTGGTGCCCAAGTCTGTCATTGTTTCCGCGATAGAGCTCATTTTTCAAGGGTTAATAACATAGACCTTAACATTCACTTTGGTTGAAACTTGGCAACCACTATGAGTATATAGCCTAAAAAGCTGATTTTAAACAAAAATGGTTTAAATTGATTTACCCTTTTCAAATTAGAGTATGTCAGAATAATAGTACTTTGCACCAGTCCTAATGCTTTAAGTTTATTTAATGCAAAAATTTTCACGCTATTATTCCCAGGTGGAGATTTGGGTGATGCCAGCTTTGGGATAAATGAAATACAGATTAGTTTCCATTGAGAATTCCAAAGAAATTTGCAAATTTTGTCTTTTTCCTTTTGGTAACACCATTGCTGTTTTGAAGGAAGAAGTGTTATTGCTCTCACCTTTAACAGAAGAGGGCAGTTGTGGTAGTGAATGCATCTGGAAAAAAGGGCAAAAGTATAATGTTGGAAATTGTGTTTAGTTGTATAGCATCCTGAACTCACAAAGAATTCCTGTCAGCTCAGCACCTCTGAGTGGTATTTGAATTGGGTTAAGCTGGTGTGTACGTAGTTGTTCACAGCCTTTAGCTTTCCAGTGCCATAAACTCCGTGTTAAAACAAAAAAAGAAGGGCCTGTTTATAGTCACACTGTAGCATGTATTTTTGCTACTCCATTCAGATTGACATTTCTATTCCACATACATTTATTAAAAATATAAACTCTTCCATCCTTCTTACCGAGTCAACCAAAGTTAAAATGTCACATTCGTCCTTCTCTTTTTAAATCACTTGGATGTCAGCTTATTTGTGTATTTAATATACAGTTTAATTCTAAAGAAAAAAATGCTGCTGGGCTATTTTTATACTGAGGACAACTTCTCAGTGAGCAAAGAGCAGAACTAATGAGGACATCATCCTGCCAGTTTTGAACTTTGATCAAATTTTGACTGAGCGTGATGCCGACAGAAATTCTGAGAGGAAGTTCTTCTCACATATATTATGCACAGCGAGACTGGGTCCTCTTATGTCAAAATATGCAACTGGATTCTTGTAGTGAACAAAGAAATGGTTGAAGAACAAGAAAAATTCCTAAGTAGTGGCTCTTACAGAGTGGTCTGTAATAAATCAGAGATATGTGGATGGAGAAACATAGTCTGTATCTACAAGGCCCAGAGGGAATAGTGTTAGGCATAGGGCAGTTTGGGATTAGAGTTTTTTTCTCCATTTATTAGGCAGTTGTGTAACCTTGAACCCACTAATTATCCTTGCTGATTCTCAATAAGATGTGGACAGTGGCTGCTTTCCATTATTCTTATAAGAATAAAAAGTATTTGGCATATTGCATATGCTTAATAAGAAAAGGTGACTCATTATGATGGTTTGAGTATAAGAATTTAAAAAGTGAACTTACAAGTCATGGAAAGTTTCTGTCAGATTATCCCCATTCGAGAGGTCTCAGAATAGACTCATATTTCTTTATATGACTCTCACACTGAGGGAAAGAACCCTTCTAATGTGGCCTATGGAATGCTGAGGGAGGGCAGTGCTCAAAGAGGTATGCATGGTCTGTATAGATAGCAGCTGGCTGACCAATCTGATCTTCTCTTTGGAAAGTTTAAATTCTGGTCATACAATAAACGATGAAGTAGGAAGGATGTAAAACAGAAAGAGATCAGACAATAAACATCCATGAACTAGAAAGAAGAGAAGCCATAATGTGGTCATAATAAACAAACCAATCATGGCAAAACCAGTAAAGCAGAGTCACTGTCAACAGTTGGCCCATTGTAAAGGGAGAAAACTTAGCCATGAGCATTGGAGACTTCTGGAAGGGAAACTGTAGAAGAGGGCATGGGGTGTTCTCTATTACTATTGCCCTATTTGAGGTGCTGCATGACATTCCAGATTTTCCTCAGGCCTGGCTCTATGTCACCTTCATATCATTTTCTGTCCTTTAATTCCCTAGTTATGTTTCAATAACATCCCTTTACTTGAAGTAATTTAATATGTAGTTTGAAGAACCACAACTGATACCCATCCTGATCTGTGAATCAAAGACACTCTAGAGAGAGGAACCTACTATTTTCTCAAATCCAACTGAAGTTATAGATGTGTGAAGCTGTGTGGACTCTTTGTGAGAAATTGCGATGCAGTTTTGGATCATACAACAGGAGGCAGGGAGAAGTGAGAGGTGAATCTGGAGAGGTTGCTAGAGTTTTTTCAGGCAAAATGTGGAATGTGCAGGGACTTGGCAAACCACTGAAGGAAGCAGTGAAAGGCTTGTAAGATGGAGGATGATGTTAGAGTTGCCTTTTAGGTATATCACTGTGTTGGTTTCTATGTTAAATAAAAGGAGAGAGATTCACAGACTATTGACTCTAGACTAGCTTGTAATTGCCAAGTTTTTAGCTAAGGAAGAACCAGTGGTGATGGAAAGGACAGTGGCTGACAAGGAAATTTGAACTGAGTCGAAAGTGTTTAGCTGATTCAGAGACTGATGTGGGCAGTCAAAAATGGTTCCTAGAGTCTAACTGGGATGTCTCAGGGGGTTGCAGTGATACCGACCAGAAATAAAATACAAGAGTAAGACAGAGATTTCAGAGAAATTGATAAATACCATTTCTGAATGTGTGATTGAGGTAGGTAGAATTGTTGAGTGGGCAAATTGTATGCACAAATCAGAAATTCAGGAGCAAGATCCATGTTAGAGATAAAGTATACATTCACATTTATGTGGTAAAATCACAAATACAGAAAGAGTATATAAAGGGCCATGGAGGAATAACTAGAGGAAGAAACATCACTGAAGAGGTAGGAAGAAAAAGAAGACTCTTTGTCAAAAGGGGAGGAGAAGGCACAATTAGAGCGGATTAAAGGAAATCCGGAGGATAACTGAATTGAAGTCAAAGGGAAAACTTTATTCAGGAGGAAGTAATTATTAACAGAATTAAGTAGAACAGTGACTACAGAACAATGAGCTAGAAAGGAGCAGGTAGAAGGCACTGTGACTGGAAATGAATGAATACTGCTTCCATGAAAAGTTTAGCTGGAGATATGGTATGGGAAGGAGGGAGACAGGACTATCATTTGGGGTAGATATGGGGAGATCCTGTTTCCAAATCATTGGAATGGCATTGTGTTTGTAGGTTGAAGAGGAGGCAGTAGGGAAAGAGAAGTTGACTTGGGAAATATATATATGAGGGTTCTCCAGATTATTCAGTGAAGCCCTAGAGGGAGATAAGACTTAAAGGTAAGCTCACCCTATTCTCTGAGGCTGGAGGAAGTGTTAACAAGTGTGGTCCGGTACACAGTTATAGGTTGTGGTGGGTACAGTGAGGTGAAAAGCCAGAATATGAGACCGACTGGATTCAATTTTCCCAGTGAAGGGGACAGGGAGGGCAATGTCAACCTGTATGAATGAGAGCCTGGGCCTCTGGAAACTAGAGAAGGTCTGAGATTATCAGTTACTTTTAGGAGTCAGAGAGGAAGCTGCTTATAAGCAGATTATATGCTTATCAGAGCTACAAGGCAGAGAAATTCAGAAACAAGAAATGTGTAGTGATACCCTTCTGAACGGCTGACCCCCATAGTTCTCAGCTGTCTGTAACTGAGTTTGTATCTTAAACCACACTGAAGTTTTTTGTGTGTGGTCATTCAAATATGCATTTTCATGTTCGGATTTTAGATTTATTTCAAATGCAATATTGAAACGGGAGCTGTGAGGGGTTCACACCAAGATAGTAGTATTTGGGCTGGGCACTGTGGGGTGACTCCTAACCCTATCTCATATTTAATTTGGTTTTTCAACTCATGTCATATTCTCTTGTGGAGGGCATATAATTGGTTTTTAAGTAAAGTGAATTCAAAGTGAGGGTGGATTTAAAGTAATTTATTATCTGTTCTTGGGGTACCTTGGGTTACTCAAGAACAAAAACCATTGCTGCAGCTGTGACCACCTTTTTCCCGTCAGAAAAGATAGCTAAACATCAGATCAAGCACAAACATCTCAACCAAGCAAACTTATGATATTTAACTCTTGGACCCAACTGACCTGTTGGTTGCCACATCCTCATTTTCTGTGTTAACATCTAAAGACAGAGAAGTAGGTTTATATAAATTGAAGGCGTAGCTGAACAATTGCCTCGTGGTTCCAACTGAACACAAAATTTCTTTAAATATGAAAGCGTTAGCAGAAATCTTTTCTTGTAAAAAATTTTCACTGTTATACTCTTTCTGCTCGTCTAATTTCTAGCTTGACCTACGAAGAACTGTCAAGACAGCCGGCGAGGGGTTGTGTCGGAGGCAGTAATGGCTCCTTTAACAACAGAGAACAGAAAAATCTCAAAAGTGAAGCCTATTGTCAAGGGACTCACATTGCCCTGGCTGACTTCCAAGAGTGAGTTAGCTTGTATTAGGCTTGGGTTGTGTAACATTTAATTTTTAATGTGGCTTTTAAACCAAACTATTAAGTTTTCTAAATTTAACCACCGATGATGGTGGTATTTTTTTTAAAAAATTAAATAAAATGCTATTTGTATCTTTATAATAATTAACACAACACTTTTTTTTTTCCTTAAATCTCTTACTTTTCATTAAATTTTGCCTTTAAACACTATTTTAAATTTTCATATGTGACCATTTGGAGCTGGAATTCTATGTTTGCCACTATTGTGCTATGAATTTTTGGTCCACATGTCACTTTTAGATATTCATTTCGTTCAATCTAAAAACATTTACCAAAGAACTTGCCTCTAGATTTTAATTAGCAGATGCAGTATCTACATTAGTCTTACAAGTAGAGAGGCCAAAGTGTATTGATTATCAGGAATTATCTATTCTACAGAGGCCAAACTAACACAGAGAAGTGGCTTGTCATATAAACATTTTTATGAGCCAATGGAATGGCAGTCCTCATTTGAAAGCAACCAGTATAAATTTGGCCCGTACCACAGTGGGTGTGAAAATTGCAAGGTAAAATAAAACAGATGAGACCATTTAAGTTTGAAATGGAAGAACAGATCACTGGCAACAGCTATTTACTTTCACAGACACTAAAATAGGGTATTTTGTTGTGAAAACTATCAATACAGGGTGATGGATACCCCGCTTAAAGTGCCAATATGATGCCATTCTGAACTGCAAAACAATTTCATTACAAGTGTAGGGGGAACCTTTAAACATGACATTACGATGTGACTGTAATGTAAGATAACAATAGAAAAACAATTTCAGAGTAAGTGTACAGAGACTATAACCATGCAGTTAGAAGGCCACTGGAATGTGAGATTATAATAGCTCTACATTAAAATGGTGAAAAAGATATGGCCAATTGCTCTTTTTTTAAAGTGGAAATAACCTAGGCAACATTTATGCTCATGAATAATAAAGTCATAGGATGCATTTTTAGGGAGGGGGGCAGCTCAGCACCGGCATGTCCAGTTCTTATTCCCATTCTGGTGTGTATTCCCATTCTTTTCCCATTTCCTGAGGCTAAGTTGGAGACAGTTTTTGTCTGACCTTATCATTCTCCTTCAGCCATACCATTTGGAGGCTCATCTTCAAGGTCTAAACTACTTTCTTACATCTAGCCCTGTGACTTGGCCACATTAGCCACCTATGACATATAATTTGAGTTCAACTAGGGTGCTTTTCTACTGCTCATCTTACCTCTAGGTCCTTCGGTTATCACTGCACCTCAGCAGAAATCTCACCATTAGAAATGTGGTTTCTTAAATCTAAAAGGATTTTTCATTAAGAGCATTTAATAACTTAAAATTGAACAAACACTTATACATTTATAAAATATAAGTACCAGTTGGAGGGGTAATGTTTTAAACTTGAACAACCCAGGACCTTTGTCATCACACCCGCTGGAGTTGATATTCTCTTTCTTCTACTTAGCTGTTTGTGAATATGCGAAGGCCCTTCCTTACTTTACCTAAGTCTTGATTTTCTTATCTTCAAAATTAGTCTAATGACAACATTTAGTGCCTGATGTAGTTGTAACAGAAAATATATTTGTGTGTGAAATGCCTTGTACAGTGCCTGGCCAATCTGAGGGCTTGATAGTATTTTTTCATTGCAGATAGAAGAAGGAATGAAGGAATGGTTCCTGACCCTGGAGAGTGGAGTACAAGAGAGAGAAATGCATTTAGTGCCAATGACAGTGTTTGAGTGTTAATCACACTATATCAACTTGAATGGATGGAGAAACACCTAGTGGATTATCAAAGCACAGTTCTGAGTGTATCTGCAGGTAACTGACATGTAGGCTAAAACTGAAGTGGGGAGACCCACCCAGTTGTGGGCGGCAAACACCGATAGGTTCATAGCTTGGATAGAAGAAAAATGGAAAGAGAAGGGAAGTGTATCTGTTTTGAAGAGCTTCAGTCTCCAGTTTCTACAGCTTTCAATGCAGACTCACCCTCATGGCTCTCCAGTGAGCTTTGAGGTCTTCGACTTTGAACTGGTGTTGCATCCTGATCCCTTTTGTTCTGTGGCTCGTATATCCTGGGCTGAACTGCTGCAAGATCTTCTAGCTCTCCAGGGTGCAGACAGCCATGGTGGACTCTCCTGCCTTTCATCCTGAAATCCTACCTAATAAATCCCCTTGCATGATTATACATATATATTTCTTTTTTTTTTTTAAGAACAGAACATATTTATTGAGGGAAAGAAAGCTTCTATCCAAGAGAGGGATAGAAGGGAGCCCGAGTGGGTTGCCCAAGACTCTGTCTTTTCTAGGAGCTTTTATAGAGCAAGACCATGAGGTGAGGTGGGTCCATGGTAGGGGAAAAATGGATAAAACTGTGGTCAGCAAATAAGAATTGTTCAGATAAAACTGATTAAATAGGGAAGCGAGTCATGTAGCAAGCAGGCATGAATACAGAAAAGGGGCTTTTCCTGTAAGGGGTTGGGTCAGCACTCTTCAAGGTGATCACTACCTATTTAGAATATCAGTCTCTGATGTTTACACCCAGGGAAGTATGTGGGTGTATTTGTTTAGTCCTTTGCCTTGATGTCTGGCCCACAGCAAATACGTATCTTCTCTTTCATGCTGGCCCTTTCTAGGGTCTGGCCCTGTCTGACTGCCTATAATATTTTTATCTAACTCAGCTGCCTGTAACATTCCCCCCTCTGAAGTAACCACAACTGCCATGAGGGAGTAATGGACAGTGACCATTCTGGCTTCTGCAGGCTGAAAGGACTCATAGTTGTTGACTGGCAGTCAGAGATAGTTTCCAGAGGGTCTATCTAAAGGCCCTTGACAGACACTGGGCATTTTCATCTTGGGTAGGCGTATAGCTTTAAGTCTCCACCCAAGGATCTCAGTGGGGACCTCCAAAATGATACAAGAAAATAAAAACTCCAAACCTGAATGATATCTGGGACGAGTTCATGTTCTCTGAAATTGAAGAATGAGTTTTAGGAACAACTGAGGTTAAGAGCAGAATATATTTACTGAGGGAAAGAAAGCTTCTATCCAAGAGAGGGACAGAAGGGGGCCCGAGGAGGTTGCCCTATACATATATTTTCTATCTATTCTCTTCTTCCAGAGAACCTTAACTAATACTCAGTATGATTAGCAGGAGGGTCTTTCCCTAATATTTACCTACTTAAAATTTATTTTTGTGCCACTACAATTCAATTTGAATTAGAAAGTTTCTTAATCTTGATTATCTAAGACCTGGTGGAGTTTTCCATCTCTCCTTGCCATTCTGTACTTTTGCGTTATTATGTTTGTCCATAGTAACTGACTCACTGGGAACTGCTCTTTTTATGGTAGTGGGACATTCTGTCCTTGGAAGATGACTTGTGGCCCTGGCCTGAGCTATCTGTCACTGGACCTCTTTCCTCCAAGCCTCTGATTTGCTACCTTAAATAATCTCATCTTGGATCGCAACCAGGGCTGTCACTTCCTAATAGCTGAGGTTTATATAAAAGTGTATAAACAGGATTTTTTTATACCTTTGATCCAGTTTTAAATCTATTCATCTGTGTCATACTTGAAGGACCAACTCACTAGGATAAAACACAGTTTTGTGAGCACAGAATAAAATGTTTTCTCCCCAGATATTTTTTCTGATCAGGTTCTTGATTTGAACTGTGGTGTCAGTGTTTGTCTAAAGCCCTGATGGGATTGCAAAGCATTCTGCTGAAGGAATTACTTAGCTGTAAAAATATGTTCTTGTAGCACTTAGGTTTAACGGCCTCACTCACCATGCCATTGGATAATTTCCTTAAAAGTCCTTCCACAGGGATGAATCACCAGAAGAATAACTCACAAAACTTGAACTCCTTGAGATAAGGCCCATGTTGAATATACTTGCTAGTCTTAGCCTCTACTAGGCTGAAACATTGAAATTTACTTATAAATAGCTTTTGGAGTAAATTTGATGTGTACTACAAAACAGTCCACATTATCCCAGGCAGCATGATCTGGGGAGATTTGAAGTGTGATCCTGCAATGTGACTACTCTGCGTTGAGCCCACCATGAGCACTAACCATATAGGAAATGTGAAAATGAGCACTAAGGATCTACCACGAAGGTGGGGTTGGCGGAGAAATGTATTTTTTATGTGTCTACTGTAGATTAGCTTCACGTGCCTGACTTAAGTTCATTTAATCTTAAAATCATCTCTCAGAGTAGGCATCATCATGTGTATTTTACCAAGAACAAAGGTTAGAGGAGGTGAAAGATTTCTCTGAAGTCACATATGTGGAAGTGTCAAGGTTAGAATTTGAATGTGGCTGCCTGGTTTCAAATTCTCTACTATTCCTACTTTATCACACTGCTGCCCACTATGGGGATTTAATTACAGTCCTGTAAAGGAGAAGAGATGAGAATAGACTGGTGGCAAGGTAACCTATTATACAAGATGAACGAGAAGTACCAAAGCGTTTCAAGGAGGGGCCTGTCTCTATGGTGGCATTTGTCTTTTTCCTTTCTTCATCTGCTCTTTGGGGGTACTGTTTTCCCCACGGGGTGTATCTCTCTACCAAACCATAATCATTGCCTAATAAAAACTCAGTCCTTTGATTACTCACTATCTTCCAGATCATTTCTAGACTCATTTTCCCCCAGCAGACTGGATGACACTTCTTTTTTGTGTGTGTGATCTTTTTGAGACAGGGTCTTGCTATGCAGTTCAGGCTGGCCTTGAGCTCACTTTGTAACCCAGGCTGGTCTTGAACTCACAATGATCCTCCTGCCTCAGCCTCCCAGGTGCTAGGATTACAGGTGTGCGCCACCATGCCCGGCCCTGGATGACACTTCTTTTCTCTGCACCAAGTGTTGAAAGTATACTTACTCTTCAGGCTCACATCAAATTCACTTTCTGGGCGCTCTCCCTCCATCAGAATTAGTACTACCTTCTCCCTTTTCCCTCTGCAGATTGCTCATATACCTGTTTGATATTTGTTACCTATTGTCTAGCATGATACAGTATCCCAACAAGCTGTATTTTTCTTTGGCATTTGGGCATTTCTGGGCATATGTGTCACACTATTAACGAGGACCTGACTGGAGACAACTTATCAGCGAGATGAAGAATTCTCTTTCGGGAGCCAGGATAAGGTTGGGGAAGATAGAGAATCAGATGCTATATCCTAAAACCACCATTCCTCCAGTAGAAAGATGGGTTTCCTTGGAGTTTGGCCTTCCCTTCTGCTCCTGTGCATCATGTTTGTGACAAAAGGGGGTAGGATGAGGAAGAGGATATAATTAAAACATCTAAAAATTGTTTTTAGAGATTTTCTGAGATTATTAGGAGAAGACAGTAGCATTCTTGAGCGCAAGCCCTAAAGTAACCTTGCAAGAGCGTGGTGCTGCTCTTATGACACAATGCAGTGAGTACACTGAGCCTGCAGAGGTCACAGCCTGGCTTTGGGTCACCACAGACTTCAGCACAGCACCTCTGTAGCTGAGGTCTGCTGATTCTGAGGGGAAGGAACGCGTTCCATGCAAGAAGTCCATGATTTCAAACACATGATATATCATCAATAGGCAAAGGGAGCATCTCCCAAATGGATATACCGCTTCCTTTCAAATACGTACAGATTGTTATAACGAATAATATAAATTTTAAAAAAAAGGATTACTGAGTTCATAGTCATTTGTGCCATTTTGTATTTTTTTCAAATAACAGACACTAAGAAGTACCTATTTTTAAAGACATTTGGGCAAATATGAACCTTTCTAATATTGAAAAGGTGTTCCCATACTCACAGAAGCTGTGACTGCTGAGGGGTGGAGCTAGTGACATCTGGTGGTGACAGCTCCTACCAGTCTGATTAGCTCTGTGAGCTTTATGAGCTCTCCTGGCTCTTCTTTACCACTTAATGTACAAGCATTGGTGCTGATCATTTCATAAGTCACTACTGAATGAATGAATAAGTTTTGGGCTGGCAAATGTCTTTGCTTTCTACAATTGCATTCTGATTTATTACACAGAATACCAAGTATAGGCCAGTTTCCACAGAAACAAGAAAAAAAGCAAAACAGAAACATTTACCAGTTTTCATTCAGTTGGTACACAGGTGTGATCAAAATAGACAGCAAATGTTTAAGTCCCTGGATGTGGCACCATGTAACTTTTAGCCCTTTCCAAAAATCAAAATGACCATGTAAAGTGGACATTTTATATCAGTTTAGGACATGGAGACAGCCACAAGAGTACAAATACAGACACAAAAGAGGACTTCCAAACTATTTCAGAAAGTGGCGAGAACAATGCAATAAGTGGTTGAAGTTAGGGGGAATATTTTAAAATGGATTAATGGCAATGTGTCTTTTACCTTACTGATTTAAAAAATTAAATTCACCATAACTGTGAATCATGCTTTTGGTGATACTGTGATCACGTATTTTTCAATAATATAATTATGTGGACCAGCTCACATACTGCCATATGAACTTGTTTGTACTCAACAAGTCAGCTGAGAAGGTAATAATAATTTAATTTAGTGCGTTTCATTTGTGTCTTCACAATAAACTTTAATATACTGCAAGAAGAAAATGACCCATGGGTTTTGAGTTTCTTTTCCTAAGTTTAAAATGTAATTTTAACTTTGATTGAAAATAAAATGCCTTCACTATTGAGATCTTCAAAGGGGATAAACTATGTATGTGGAATAATTTTGATTAAACCATTTTCTGTGATGAGGTATCAGTTTTGGTTATGATATGAGCCAGGTCTTCTAATCTATTTTCACTTGTAGGCAAGAGGTATTCTTCCAGACTCCATGGGAAAGATCAATAATGACAGTTCTTTTAAAACTTCTTTTCGTCCTCACTTCTCAGGAACTAGGCAGCTCTAATTTATAAACACTCAATTTACACTCACACTATTGAAACATGAGGAAGGGGTAATAGGAGAAAATGGACTCAGGAAATTCAAAGAGAATCCCGGATGGTATAAGATGAAAGGAAGCTTAGGGATCATCATGATCCAACTTGCCCATTTTATTAATTTTGTAAGTTTCAAAATGTTAAGTGACTGATACAACAACAAATGTCTAATTAGTTCTAGAGTTGGACCACCAGATCTTACTGCCTCAAATTTCTACTTGCTGTGGTCACTTTATTTATTTATGTATTTTT